AAAAAAAAGGTCTAACTTCACAAAACGCTCACACTCCTATCTGCAGTGTTGTATCGGTGTGTTAGTCTGAGCCGTCGTGTCTGTCTACATCAGATACCCTGAGACAAACCAGAAACGGATGCATGATAACAGATACACGGGATTCCAGGTCAGCTGTGAGCCACGATGACAAAAAAAGGACACATCCTGCATCCGATTAGCACAACGAGCACCGGTAATCAGCTATTTGTGCATTTAAGACTTTTTTTTGGCAATGCCATACTGTCTGCAGAGCTAGAAACACATTTTTAAAGATGCAAGACATAAATCTTACATCATATGCACGTAAAGTAAAAAGAGGAATCTGACCTTCATCATATCTTTGTTTGGACACACTCCCTGGTAATGCACTGGGCACGCCCTCGTAAAGGCCTTCACCCACAAAGTCTGTGTAGAAAAGCATAAAAGACATGACAGCCATCCAGCTGCAGAGCTGAGCCACGCACAGCTGCCTCATCACCCGTGGAACGTGGCAGTAGCTCCTGTAAATGGCCGGCGTCATGGACCAGCACGTCCTCAGTAAGCACATCAGGGGTCCAGACTTGAGGAGCCTCAGCTTGCACTTCAGCAGGTAGCAGCACGAGCGTGGCACGCCACACCGGCCGGCCTCCATCACACCGGTCCCCGGCTCCAGTAGAGATCCCGACTCTCCCGAGCCGCTGTTGGCACAAGAGGGTTCCTCGGACACCTTCATGGTGATTAGCACACTGGAGATGAAGATGAGGATGAGGAGGGAAAAGAGGCACTCTGCTTGGCCTCCCAAGTAAACCGAGAGGAGGCCGTGACTCCAGTCCAGCGCAGGTAGCAAATAACCCACACAGCCTCCCAAGCTCACCATGAAGGAGAACATGGCAAAGGCTTGGCTGCAGTCCTCCTCATCCCGATACAAATCTGACAGAAGAGCCTCGAGCGGAGTGAAGCAAACTTGTCCACAGAAGTCAAGGAGCCCAACGCCAAGGATCAGGAAGCCCACCTGGAACACGGAGGAAACGCAAGGTTATATGGAGGACAGTCTTCAAACGAATAAACTCTCGGGAAGAATTTAACCTTTGTCTGAAAAACTCAAATTCAAACAAACATTTTACACACCTGGAGCGTGCGGCCACCCCAAGCAACGTGGGCTGCCAGGACGTCAGCGTGGGGAATAATGAAAAGCGCCAGAAGGACTCCCATCGAAAACAGCCAGATGAAAGGCCGCCTCCTGCCGTAACTGCTGTTGCACTGGTCACTGGCTGAGCCGATCAGGGGGATGAACAACAGGCCAAGCACTGGCCCGATGCCTGCAGGTACAACCAGGCAAACACAGAAGTCAGAGATCATACTAACAAACCATAAGATG